TGTAGCATATAATTGAGAACATCAATTAGTTTGATTTCAAATATATTAATATAAAATGTATAAAATTCCATGTTTCATTGTGAACATATTAATAGAATATAAATATAAAAATTAATCCTAAGGATAAGGGGGTGTTGGGGGTGGGATTCAATATAAAAAAATTTACCTTGAGAATTTTGCTGATAGATCCTGAGTCTTATCACTACCCCCTATGATAATTTTATCGACGACCCTGATTCTTACCCCCATCTAGTGTTGTTAAACGGCTCATTTTGAGCCGATAAAATCGGCTAACTCAATATTTTAGCAAGATAACTATTGCCTAAGCCTCAAGATCTCGACAATACATGTCTGGATCTTTGTTCCTTCTATGAGCAAAATCTTCAGGCTTGCGTATTATTTTTCTGGAAGGAATAATGAGTTAGCCGTTTTTAAAAATCGGCTCAAAACGAGCCGTTTAACAACACTACCCCCATCCTCAGTGGCTTAAGTTGCAGCCCGCTCTATTCACGAATATTAATGAGTTCTAACTACTCGCTCATGGCAGTTCATTAATATAATGTCCTAATTTGAAATTTGAGCTTTGCTTTGCATTTCAAAAAACCAGCATAAAACGCATGGTCTAGTATTTGCAATCGGGACGGTATTTTAGAAAAGAATATAATTAAAATATATATAAAAACTCAAATATATTTGCGCATTTTAACTCAAATTAGAATTTTACCAATTTGGGCCACATCATTTGAAACAAATTATTCACCTTTAAAGGGCAGCTTCACTCTTATATAGATCAAATCCAGTGATCGCCTTTGTGATTTTCATATCAAGTTTTCATTTATTTTTTAGGTTCTGGCTCTAAAAAGATTGTAGATCCATCATATTTGTAAAAGAATGTAAAACAAATATAATTTTTTTTATTGCAACTATAAAAAATCATTTACATTGAACCAGAGGTGAGTTGGGTAGTAGATCCTCATTTGTAAAAAATGATATAGTATTAAATTATATTATTAATATAATGCTTGTAACCAGAATCAAAATCTTGAAAGTATTTTAGTCATTAAAATCAAGGGTGTCACTAGCTTTTACAATCTCAGAGCGCTCAAATTTTTTTTTCAAAATTACCTTTTTTAGCTAACATTATCCAAAATTAACTCTTTTTTAGCTAACATTTTAAAATTACATTTGGTATAAAAAAAAGGTTCAAAATTTTTGAGGGGGTTCTTCAATTTTTTTAGGGGACTCGAGCCCCTGCGTTCCCTAGTGACGCTACCTATTAATAAGAGTAACGTAAAATATTATCTCAAAATACTAGATTACATTTAACTAATCTGATATAAAAATTAAATATGTATTTTAATCTACGCCCAAAGCTGATTGCCTTAAAATAGGAACTCACTGAAACTCGGAAAATTTTATTTTTTTTATTTATTTTTTTTGAATATTTTTTTAAAAAAAATTTTATTAAAAAAATAATAAATATGATGTAATAATAATTCAAAGTTCCAATACTCAAAAGTTTTAAAAATTGTATTTTAGTAAAAGGATCGGATCAAATTTTTTACATGTATCGGCCTGATCCGATATTTTTAGAAAACGCTAAATATCGGTACCGATCCGATATTTAATATCGGCACAGCCCTAGTTGCAACGTTCAATTTGTGCGCACTATTATGGTATAGTTAAATTATAGATGTTACACTAATAAAAAGGTATTAAAAATTAAAACCATTGGTATCTTTACAGAATACAAAATTAGATATGATATCAGATCGGTAATCGGCCGATATTAATTTAATATCGGGAATATCTGATCCGTCTCCAAAAAGTGGTATCAGTACACCCCAGTAATCTAAAGTATAATAAAAATGATTGAATGAAAAGTGAATTTCACAAAATATGATTTTATATTGAAAATAAATAAGTTTAATATTAAAAAAAGTTATTGAACCCTAAATTTCAAAAAAGGGTTCGGTTTAGTAAAATATCAAGGGTTCAAAGAATGCTTCAGGTTCACAGCCCTGATAATAATGTAGTCAATAAAAGATTTAGCAATGAAATATTTAAATCAAGCCTAATTTTTCCCACCAGTGGAGAAAACGATATTTGTAAAAGATGATATTGAGTAGAGGTGGGCGCAAGCCTAATTTTGTTAATCACGGCCCACCCGCTCACAATTGCAATAAAAAAAATTCACGCCCATTCACGCTAACCACTAAAAAAATTTCGACCAGACCCGCCTACTCACGAGAGGCAATATTTTAATTCACACCCATCACGCCCGAAAATTCACGGTGTTTTTAAATTTTATAAAACTATTGCTATTATTTTATAATTTTTAAATTTATTTTATTTATTTCATTAATCATAATCCATATTAATAACAAAAAATAATATATCAAAATTTTTATTCAGAAAAAGAAAAATGTCCATCTTTTTATTTCATTGTGTACGCCTTTCCTCTAAAGATTTTGGTTACAGAAAATAACCTTTAACTAGAAGCCTAACTTGCCTGGGACTGACAAAATATTGCTCGCTTATTTTCTCAAAAAAGAAAATGAATATTCCCGTTTCCAAAACTTCAAAATATTGTCTTGTTATTTCTCTTATGAGCGATGAATCTTTTAAGTTCATCCTCACACTTTCATCGAAGATGTTGATGCTTCATCTGAATCATCTAGAAATTTCTAAATTTTTCATTTAGAATATACGGTCTTTTATGATGTAGGATGAATTAGAAAAGTTATAAATGATAGTTGACCATTTAGAATCTACGGTTTTTTATGAGTTTAGGATAAATTAGGAAAGTTATAAATGATAATTGGTATTGACTTATGCATATCATCTAATTTTATATCATTTAGCATTTTTAAAGTTGTTTTATATATATATCATCCTTTTCTTCTTCTGTTAAAAACTTAAGACTTTTGAAATTCGTATCTAGAATTAAGCCTACCTTATGTAGGGCTGCATAATAGATCTTTCTTTTAAAAGAATCTTGTTCTGTTTTTTAAGGTTTTGATTATTATTGTATCACGTTCAGAAGGTTATCAAAATTTTACTAATTTTTGTTTCCATAGATAAACTTCATTCATTGTTGTACGAGAATCTGCGCTCAGATTATACGAACATTCTTTAAATATTAATAAAAATTTATCAAACTCAAGTATGATTTAATATCAATTGTGGCTAAATTATTTAATTCTTGCTTGCTAAACAAGTACACCCGTATTTCAGAATATGATTTTAAGAGACTCTGGATCATGATATATACAGAGTTTCCATATCGTTATTACATCTTGGTTAAGGGTGTGGTTTAGCTTGCTATTAGCTGTAGATCCTTTGAAATATTATACTATAATTTTACATCATTTATATTTAAGGATATTTCAGTTAAACAATTGTCAAAAATATGATGCATAATATTATTTAATATATGGCATACACATGCTAGCGTTTGGTCATATTTAAATGCATTTATAAGATTTGCTCCGTTATCAGTCACACAACTATACATTTATTTAAATAATTTTCTACTTCTGTGTATTCTTCTAAAATTGAATTGATTAAACTTTTAATATTGAGGCCTATTTTGATTTCCCTTGTGGTCAAAACAAATTCTTTTAATTCCAAATACTTAATGATAATATGTCCTGTAATAGTTAAAAAAAACTTTGATCTTTATAGTCATCCATCCAAAAAAATCAGTGGTTATGAACAAGTAATTATTATTGATCATGCTTTTAATCTTAATTTCATCGTATATTTTTGGAGCTATAGTATTCTTGAGAGTTTTCCTGCTCACAAGTTTATCTTTTATATCTGGTTGTCCATATGTAACACCAACATTTATTAACTCTTGGCCTAGCTTGTAAAATCCTTCTCTTTCTGTTGCATTTAAAGATCGAAGATCTTTACAAATAAAATATAATTGACTATTCTGTAAAATGCTTAAGCAAAATTTAGCAAAAAGTCTGGCGATAAAACACCTAAACATAAAAAAAAATAGAACTAACGGAATGATACCGGATGTTGTTTATAAAATGAGGAAGATTTTTTTTTAAAAAATTATTCTTTTTCAAAAAAAAAATTAAATTAGAAAATATATATTATAATTATAAATTGCAAATTTATTTTTTAAAAATTAAAATATCCGTGATTCACGGGAAATTTATGTTCACGCCCGATCACGCCTGGGTAAAATTTTGGGAAGGCCCGTCACACCCAATCACGCCTCATAATTTAAAATTTATTAACATTCACGCCGTGACCCACCGTGAGACGATGGGTCACGCGTAATTTCACCCGCGCTCACCTCTAATATTGAGTATGTTGATTTTGTCATTTGAATTCAAGTCAATTTTTAAAGAAATGTATGTTTCAAAATATTTATGATGGCTAAAAGGGGTGGTGTAATTATTATACATGACCTGAAGTTTAAAGAATCTAAAAACTTGTCAGATTCCAAGAATCGCAAATTTATTTTATTAAAATATTGATATTAATACATATAGCTTCTTCTTCTGAGACTTATGATTCAGATTAGAAATTGATTTTACTTCATCATTTATTTTCTAATTTTTTTACTTTACCTAATTTATCAATTTTATATAAAATTTATTAACTATTCCTATACCGCATGTACTGACAAATACAATGAAATATCCTTTTCTAAAAATAAACTATTTTATCAATGAAGCAAAATTTATTTAAGCAATTAAATATAAATTTTTTTCCCTTTTTCTTCTCCTAATTTATCTAAATTATTAATTTAAGAAAAATATTTTTTACAATTTTATTTATATTATACATTATAAATTGATGCAATAAGAATTATTGTAATTTATAATTAAGGTTGGGAATCAAAAAATAATTAACTGCTTGGGGGGGGGGCTTCTATCACTCAGAAAGTATAGAGGCAATGGGTAAAGAAATATATTTAAATGATTTATAATGTAAATAAATAATTATATTTTAGCTTATATAATTAAACAAAATAATACATTTAATAGAATTTTATTGCTATTAGTCAAATCATATCCATAAATCAAAACATATAGAGGTTTATGTATAATAAAAAAAATTAATACAAAATTTGAGCTATTAATATATCAATTATTCACAAGAATTAATGTTAATAATATATTCAAAATATTAAATTATATTTACAACTTTTTAACAGGCATGACTATGAAATAAGGAATACATATTTGAGAAATTTTAATCTTCCTTAACTCTATCTCCTGCACTATCATCAAGTTCAGATTGTTCAGTATTTTCAGATTCACTATCACTCAATTTTTCTTTTTTATCATATTGCATGCCAGGTCTTGGTTGGTATACAGGTACAACTTTTTTACTTTGATATACCATTATTAATCGAGCAATTAGCAATAAAATAAAAACTAATGGAGCTGCCATATATTCAAGGCCTTTGTTTAAACTAAAATGCATTACTAAGGTAAATCCCATTAGTGTAATTAATATTAAATTGGATAAATTTGATATAATTCCTAAATGAAACATAAGGAAATAGATATAATTTTGATAAAAACTTGGAAAAACAGGTAATAAAAAAAGTCCGGTAATAACTTCGGCACATCCTACTCCTCTCCTTAGATATTTTGATTTAATTAGAATACCTGTTTGGTCTTTAATAGGTCCACGAAGGGTGTCTATAGTGAATGACTTAAAAGCTTTAAGCTAAACCCAAATTATTAAACATATATTAATAAAATACATTACCCAATTATAGTAAATGCCTCTATTAACTTTAGGAGTAATTTTTGAAACTCCTATGAATATAAAATATGCCGCAAGTGTGACAGATAAAACCTTGATTGGTAACGACATGAATACACGCTAAATTAAATCTTTTAAAACAATGATATTAAAAAACTCGGACTTTAGATACTTTTCAATTTAAAAATAATAAAATATTATTATTTTGGAAAGCAAATGATGGATAATAATATATTTTATTTACCCTATATATATTTAAATATATCGAATATTAAATATATAGGAAAATAATTAAATAATCATTTATGTCATTTATAAATTTTCTAAAATCAAATAAATTTTATACAAAATCATGTTTATAGTTAAGATGACAATTATAAGGTTAATTATTTTTTGAAATGGTGAGGCATAGGATTAAGATTAATTATGTAAGACTGGAGATTTTTCTCATAGATGGCAAAAAGGTTTATCTATTTACCAAATCTCGAGGATTTCATAATATTATTTTGGCTATTTTAATTGGACTGTTTTAACGACCCAAATCGGACTTTTTATCAACACTCTAAGGCAAGATATATGTATTTTATATTGTTAGAACAGAATTTAATTAGATTTCATTGTAAATTATATAATATTTTATTCTTTATCTTATATGTAAAATTTATATAAGGTTCTCATAGTAACATTTTAATAAGATAATATACTATTAAATCGATTAAAGTTTAATAAACAATAATGAATTTTATTTGTAATTTTTTTGGTATATATACATTTATATAATTATCCAATTTAACTTCTAATAATATGCAATTTGATTAACCTCGATAATATAATATTACATGTCGGAAAGTTATAATATAATATACAAATACTTTTAAAATATATAACATGACCTTTTAAAATATATCTTAACTTTTACAATAATAAATATTCAGATGCCCACCAAGTTAAGATCGTCTACCAATCTTTTTATTTAACAAGTTCAAGTTCATCTATTAATTTTTTTGGGCTTTAGTTCCCTTGTTGGATAACCCGTTTGCCTTCCTTTTTGACTTGGTTCCATTGTTATTATGATTTGCTAACGTCTGGTTCTTCCCTTATTCGTAATTGGTCGGGATGTTTTAATACGGTTTTGTACGTTTATTTTTTTCTTCTTTTTCTTCTTCCCTTTTCCAGGATTGTGATGGCGATTCTAGTTTTTCGACCAATTGTTCCCACCATCACTGTTCGCTTGTTAGTTATCATCACTTATCTGTAGATCTATAGCGATTTTTGCGATTCGTTGGTAGAATTATTCTCCACATAATCATAGTTCACCTGAAGTTTTACGTACCACTACCATTGGAGTACTCCAGGTTACTCTATATAGTTTGTCAATATTCACGTTACCATTATCATTATATTGTTGATCATATTAATTTCTACATATGTTAGTAACGATAAGTCAAATTCTATAATCCCTGGAAATCCAAATAGGCTGTGTCAAATTCTATAATCCCCGGAAATCCAAATAGGCTGTATCAATCATTTTGATAGTGCCCTTTATATCATAAATTCTATAATCCATGGAAATTTAAATAGGCTGCATCAAACATTTTGATAGTGCCCTTTATCATTATCATAAATTTTTTAATCCATGGAAATCTAAATAGGCTGTACCAATCATTTTGATAGTGCCCTTTATCATTATCATAAATTCTATGATCCATGGAAAACTAAATAGGCTGCATCAATCATTTTGATAGTGCCCTTTATGATTATTATAAATTCTATAATCCATGGAAATCTAAATAGGCTGTATCAATCATTTTGATAGTGCCCTTTATATCATAAATTCTATAATCCATTGAAATCTAAATAGGCTGCATCTATCCTTTTGATAGTGCCCTTTATTATTATCATAAATTCTATAATTTTGTTTAAGTTTTAACGGTTAGTCTTAGTCTTTAGTATCTGGGTATCGTAAACATAGTTCTCCGGCGATTAATTGATCGCGAATTCTTAGTTCTACGTTATCTTCAAACTCACATCTTCGAGCTAGCTCCTTTATACATATATATATATATATATATCTCATTACGGATTCAGTATGAAATCAATTGCTCCTCTATCAATATAAAATTTTGAGGATATTTTATGTGTCTATAGTCGTCAGTAACCCATTTATCTCATTCATCTTTTATCAGCGTCTACATGAGCGGGAGGGGTAGGAACAGTTTGCATCCTATTTTTTGGAGGGGGTAGGATAAATTTTTTGGGGGGTTATCTATTGAATTTTGTGATAAAATAGGACAAAATTTGTTGCTGTAAAAATTAATAATTTTATTATAGAACTATTATAATACAATTCATCGACCAAATCTATATATTGCAAACAATCATAAACATTGTTTTCCAAATAAAACTTTCTGCTATCCTTTTAAATTACATTAAGGTTTAGATATTTCAGCAAGCTCATAAAGTTATAATAATGAATTCATTGTAAATAATGGAGGATTTAATGGAATTTATTATCTAAAAAATAAATCCTTTATATTCACAAAATATCGATAGTTGGTAGTAGAGATAGATTAATTTAAGTTATCCTTTATAAATTCACTGAAAAGAGTATCATTATAATTAAAAAGGTGAAAATAATAATGGGAAAATATCGCCGCCGAAGGTGGTGGGATTTTTTTTAGGGGGGTAGGTTCGAAAGGGGTTTGCATCCAGTGAAAATCCTGTCACGTAGACGCTGTTATCCATAATTGCTAAATCAATTTATTTATTTTTTAACAAAAAAAAATTATAATTCTATATAATATTTAACTTGACCGAAGACCGAAAACCGTGCGACCTTTTTCCTCGTCGCCAAATATTTAATCGATTAAAGTTTAAAAAACGATAATGAATTTTATTTGTAATTCTTTTGGTATATATATACTTTTATATAATTATCTTATTTAACTTCTAATAATATGCAATTTTATTAACCTCGATAATATAATATTACATGTCGGAAAGTTATAATATAATATACAAATAACGTCCTTTTAAAATATATAACGTGACCTTTTAAAATATATCTTAACCTTTACAATAATTAATATTCAGATGTAACATATACATATAATAAATCTATTTAATATAATGAGAAAATAAAATAAAGTTTAAAATGAAATAATAAGATTCAACTAAATAAAAGCATAACAATTGGTTTAAGTCAAATGGTTTCGGAAAATAATAAATGAATAACTAATAAGAAAAATAATGATTTAATTAATGTGTCAATTTTATGTAAATATATATTAAATAAATAATCATATCATATCATATCATATACACTGGGGAGACATCCCACAATTAAGTGGGCACTCCACCACCCCATAGAGGGCGTCTCCAGTGCAGTGAATTTGCATTCACTGTTTGGCAGAAAATTTACCCTACTGTCTGGGCCCTGTTTAATTTGAGTGGGATGACAGGTACCACTCGTGGATAAGCCAGGATCCACAAAGTTGACAGTAATTTACCCTACTGTCAGGGTCCCGTTTAATTTGAGTGGGATGACGGGTACCACTCGTGGATAAGCCAGGATCCACATTGTAAATAATGTTTATTTATTATAAAAGTTAAGATAGGAATATGTATTAGAAAAAAGGGGAGGGGGGGGGGTGATTAAGGAGTAAAGAGGAAGAAGAATTAGTTTTTGTAATTTGTAATTTATTTATTTATTTTTTTTGTTTTGTTTTCTCTTTTTTTTTTATATTATTGGTAATAAGAGATTCTTGTGTTAAAATAATGTTAATATCATATTGATCAAGGAGTTTCCTAGGTATAGTTGTTTTTGAAAGTAGGCCAGGAATGTTGTAGGAGTAGATTGTTAGATTTTTGAAAATTGACATAATATAAATTTTAAAGTAAATTGTAAGATAAATTTGAATTTTGAAATAGAAAAAAAATGGGGAAAAAATAAGCAGACGATACTTGGAAAATTGAAAAAGCAAAAAGCAGACAAGAGAAATGATGAATAATAAAATATCCATGAAATTGAGTTTTAAGAGAGGATTAAAGTTAAATTTTGTTTAAGAAAGAAGTTGTAATTATATTAAATGTTGATTTATATTATTTTGTTTAAATTAAGTTAATAAGATTAATATATAGAAAAAATAAATTGTTAAAGGAAATAAATAATTGAAATAAAAGATAAATAAATGATTTATAATGGTACTTGCTAAACTTTATAGTAGCTTAGGTAAAGAATTGGAGAAGATAAGAAAGAATTAAGTTATGATGAATTGATTGAGATAAATTAATAAATAAAGAAGAGAATTTATTTCTTTGAATCTAGAAAAAATAAAAAAATTAATGAATAAAAGTAATAACTTGACAGAGATATATTATGTATAATCCTCAGCAATTAAAAAAGAGTCTCATTACTCTCCCAAACATCTTCCATGCATTTGAAAGAATTTACTAGAGTTTTGATTCAGAAGAGTAGAAGTCAGGCTTTTCATGTCATAAAAAAATGTATATAGTCGCAAAGTAAATATTTAAGGAATATAGTGTGCTTGAAAATGAAATTGTGAGTGATAGAAGTATTTGTAGAATTGATAGATATCATTATTTCTTGGAGGTGGCGATTTAACATCAGCCATTTTCCCGCAGACGAAAAAAGTCATTAAATAAATAATATTTATATGATATTATTATTTCACTTTTCTAGAACTCCTAAGTGATTGATATAAATTGCCCCTAAGGCCGTATCCTCGGGGAAAGTGTGGCTTGGGGCTAGCCACTTTTAAGCCTGATCTCGTTTCTTTTGAACCCCAGAAATGGCCTCCAAAAATATTTTAGACCTCCAAAATCCTAAAAAAAATATTAGTTAGTTATTCCCAGTGTCTACATGAGCGGGAGGGGTAGGAACAGTTTGCATCCTATTTTTTGAGGGGGTAGGCTGCTTTAATGGGGATAGGATAAATTTTTTGGGGGGTTATCTATTAAATTTTGAGATGAAATAGGACAAAATTTATTGCTGTAAAAATTAATACTTTTATTATAGAAATATTATAATACAATTATCATCCAAATCTATATATTGCAAACAATTATACACATTGTTTTCTAAATAAAACTTTCTGCTACCCTTTTTAATTTAAAAGGTTTA